ATTGCTTATTCACCCATCAACTCTAGTTCTGTCACCATCTCCCATCCCTGGCTAGCCGGAAAGCCAAATATTTTTGACATTAGCTATTTGGCTAATGAACATACATCTGATGTTCTCTTAGTTCTGACATCGGTTATAAATTCAGCCGAATCCACGACAATGAGGCCCAAATTAAACTCAGACGTGTTAAATATGGAGCACACAACATATAAATAGCAATGACACTTTAGAAGAAAATAGAGCTCTTCAATCAGCATTACAATTAAAAAAAAAAGAAAATGACTGCTTTGGGCCAGGTGCTTTACATACACATAAATGATTTCATTGAGCCCTCTAGTTTAGTCTTCCTGAATCAAGTGCTTTAAATTCCATTAAAAAAATAAAGGTTAAGTGATTTGTTCACAAATCCATGAAGCATACATATGAGTCCAGATTTAAAGACATTTTTTTCTGCCTAAAATTCACATACAGCACAGAACCACTTGTGTATTTCAGGATTCCAGCAAGAAACAGCACATGCAGATTAGAGTAATCGATGGAGGGGTTAATAAAAAGACTGTTGCCAAAGGCATAACTGGGCAGTAGGAAACCCACAAAGGCACTACCCCAGGCCTGTACCACCCCCCAGGATACGGCCAGCTGGAGGCAACGCACCCAGCCCACCACCCACAGTGACGGAGTCAGGGTAACAAACTCCTTATTCTCCTCCCTCCACTCAATGCCTTGCTTAGGTCCTTCGTGTGCCAACTCCAACCAAAAGGCGTAGGACAAGGGAGTGGGGGGGTGGTCCTCACTGCTGCCCACTGGAGCAGAGAGCAGGACGGGAGTGGTGGGCAGTGCCTAAGGAGAGGCAAAGAGAATAGCTCAGCAGATGCTGAAATATTTCTAACTATTGGTTTGAGCATAGAAACAACATAGGCTTCACATTCATTTAAATATGCTAAATATTTAATCTCTTGAAAATAAAGTTGAAAACCAGCAGCTAAAGACCTTTGCACTGAATCTTTTTAAATGTATTAAGAATCAAAGGTGAGTTTGTTCATTTGGGGAAAATATCCAAAGAAAAATCACAGGAACAATGCCAAGGGCTCAAGAAAAACCTTTGTTGGCTGACAAGGTAAGCCAAAGCAAGGCCCTGTAGCCCTTCAGTTTTGATTTGTTTTGTTAAGTCAAGACTCTCTAGGCAAATCTTATTTTTGCTGAAGCAATTCTGAATCATGAGAAGTTACTCCCGAAGAACTGTGTGGATCTAGCTCTGTCACTGAGTGGTTGAATATGCTTAGTTAGACAAGTGATTTAATAGCATTGTTGTGCCTCAGCTACTTTTTCCACCTCTACTACAATATCTAATCCTCAATCTTATATATGTAATTATTTATCAAGTTAATATTGCATCTGATCAACATAGAGTGAAGCATACTGCAAAAGATGTTTCCAGCCACTGCATCCATTTCTCTGCTGATTTTGACTGACTTCTGTTCTATTTTTCTTTTCATTTTCTTGCTTTTATGTGTAAATTGTCTAAAAGATTTAGAAACATACAAGGAATAGGTCATCAATAAATACAAACAATAAAGATACAAGCTAACTTTTAAAATTCAATAATCCAATAATCTTTTGAATGTATTATGGATGTCTTCTGCAAAAGAACCCAACTGGAAGTCTTTTTGAACGTGTTGTCTTAACTGAAATAAATAACCCCTCTTATCTGTATTCATTTTGATTTCAATATTCCAGACTTATTTCTAAAGTAAAAACACAATCAGTTCTGAAAGACATGAATAAGATATAATATATTCCCTGGTCAGATTTGGTAATTTAATAAAAGTGAGTAAGTGATTTCACCTCAGTGGCCAACTCATGAAATCTTAGGATTGAATTTGGCCACAATAATTATTAACCTAGGAAATCAAGAATTAGCTTAAGAAGCTTTTTATTCATAAGATGAAGTTGAATAGCACCGCAAAGAGATAAATAAGAATTCTGAAACTCAACCCAGCAGGAAAGCCTACAAGGGAAAATGTTCTCTATGAGGACAGCAAACCCTATCAAGTTATTGCTCCATCTACATCCCAGGAAATCTCAATTGCCTCTTAATGAGTGTTGGACGGGAAATAGGGGCCATGATACCACATGAAGGAGGGAGATGGATGCAGCATATGGAATTTATTCTCTCAGAGTGACAGAGTTTATTCATTTCAAATGTATGCACATTCTCAAGATACTATTATAAATGATTTATTGGGAAGACATTTTACCAAAAAACTTCAGCCAGAGCGCCTCTCTTCCTCTAACACACATAAAAAGAAAAATCAAACAAAGAAGAAAAGTGCAAGTTTGCCCTACCTAACTGGTGCACATTTCTGGTGCATTTCTTATTGCTCTTATTCATTGCAGATGAGCCTGGAGACACCTGAGACACCTGTGAAAGACTCTGTCATCTACATTCCCTGCCCCCACCCAAGCTTAAATTTTGGGTCTGTTCATCCAAAAAAGAAAAAAGAAAAAAATCCCTAATTTTCTTCCTTTTCAGAAAATTACCTGTCCATCATAAGTTTGGCCTCTAGATTTTTATACAGATGCCTTTGCCAAGCCAGAGGAGAATAATTCTGTTTCCCTTAGGATATTCTGAATTCAAGATAAACTTGTACAAATTTTACACGGCTAATTCAAGCCTCTGACACGGCTGTACTGTTGTCTTTGGCAGGGCTCTACTAAAAGTCACAATCAAAGTTCCCTAATGCTTTCAGATTTTTATTCAAGGAGTAATAAGTTGGTTCCTAACAAATGTACCCCCCACCACACCCCATACAGTTCATTTGACATTTTAAAGGTCCTAGTTCATTAATATTAGCAATAAAAGTTTTATTGAATTCAAGTATATGTAGGAGACTTTTCTAGACTTTGGGGAAGTAACTGTTATAAGAAAAACTCTCCAACAATGATAAGTAATAGCACTAGGGAGTAGAAAATAACCTGTGCCCCCAAAGAGTGTCCGTTCATTTACCTGATACTGAGCATCTCTGGTCGCCAGGCACAGTGCTAAGTGCTGGAAACACAAAGATAAACAAGCAGACCTCGTCCTTGAGTTCACTGAGTTTACTTACATTCTAGTATTGTTAACAGATGATTTTTTTTAAAAAAGGCTATAATATCAAGTAAATAAATAAATGTCCAAATAAGTAGACATTGTAGTCAAGGCTATGAGGGGAGCAAATAGGGTTTTCTGATAGGAAATAATGGGGTGGTAGCCTACATCATTTAGGGTGGTTAATAAAGGCCTCTCTGAAGTTCAAGCTGAGAGCTGGGCCACCCAAGAAAAACAGGCCTACTGATAGGAGAGGTGGCTCCAAGTGTAGGGAATTAAAAAATAATCCTGGTTAGTGGTGTATGTAGGAGTCACCCAGAGGTTAGAGATGGACCTTGTCATTCGAGGCTACAGGTC